TTCGACAAAGCCACAAGACTCCTAGGGTTATCTGACTTTATACTTTTATATATATATATATATATATATATATATATATATATATATATATATATATATATATATATATATATATATATATATATATATATATATATATATATATATATATATATATATACTAGTTTTTTACGCGCATTGCGCGATTGGGATAATGCCCAATGCTTTTTTGTTAAATAAGTACTTTAAAGTATATTAAGGCAGGATTATATTGAAATTGTTCATGCATAGATAATTGAAGGTTGAATTTGCGTATTTAAATAGGTAATTCTTCTCTCAAAGGTTGAGTCCCAACCCCAAGGGCCCCCCACACTCCGACCCGACAGAGCATTGTGGGAAGTTGTAGATCACGGTGACTTAATGGTTCAGCAGACAGGGCCAAATGCTGATACGCACAAGGAATCTGCCCACTTTGGACATAATTCCCGCACTGCCGCCGCCGAGGTTCAAACCTTGGTCTCTTCTCCCAAATACTACCCACTAAACCATTGAGCTAAGCCTGTGCGAGTTAAATAGGTAATTTTAAGTTTACAAATGCAAGATAATATAGTCAAGATTGATTATAATTGTCAATAAAATAATTGTATAAGTATAGTTGAAACCAAATACGGGACATAAGGGAGAACAAATAAAAATTAGGGCATAAAATATTAAATATATACTAATATTGTTTGAGGAGATTTCGACATTAAGATTTGTGGTTAAGTTCTATTAAGACTTTAATATTAGAATTAGACTAACGGTGAATTAACGGAAAAGTTAAATGGATAATCATATAATTAAGGATAAATTAGAAAATCTTAAAAGAAAAAAATTAAACTTGAACAATATGAACCATTCATTTGATTTAATAATTTGGCGGTCATTTTTTCTACCCAATGTTAATAATTGAATAAATTCGCTGGTCAAATCCGCTAGTATAATCCGCTAACGCTAACCGCTGATTGTCAAACAAGGACATTGCGAGGTAGTTCTCACTTCAATTTGTTGTGTGATTTGAATACTCTCTTTGTCACAAAATCTCTCAAGTAGTTAATATGGTTGGCTTTATTAATTATATTTTTTTTAATTTTTTCATGGTATTAATAAAATACTTGGTAAATAAATATATAACATTATTTTGTATTATAACTTTGATATTTAATTAGAAAAATAGTGCACAAAAAAAGATAATAGATAATGTAGTGAATATAATCAATTGATGAATTTGAATGTAAAAATTTTTACATTTGAGAAAAATAAAGACAATATAACTAATGAAAATATTTCTTTTAATTAATTTATTGATAATTAATAATTTTTTTTCACTGAATAAAGACATTGTAAGGACAATGTAGTGAATATAATCAATTAATAAATTTGAATATAAAGAATTTTTATATTGAAGAAAAATAAAGACAATATAACTAATAAAATTATTTCTCTTATTTAATTTATTGATAATGAATATTTTTTTTTGAATAAAGGCATTGTGGACACATAATTCTAAATTAAAGAAATGCATATGTATTATTTTTTGTTGTAACTACTAAATTATTATTTATATAATTTAATAAGAGTAAAATAGAGTACTAATTATGCCAAGAGTTTAGGCTAAATATCCTAAAGTCTTATCTTACAGGCGTTGTCCTAGGATCAAACTTAGGCTCTGATACCAACTGACACACTCCTAATTTTCAAAACATTTAAAGCTTATGAAATAAAGGCAAATCTATCATTAATACCCAACAGAGCGGAAGCTAACAACATAAGTATCGGGGTGCTATGCCACATCCAGGCTGGAGAACCTAGATGCACCGGCTACACTAACTAATCTAATGCATAATTCATAATTAATATTCAAATACAATCAAGGCGCACAGGCAAATGAAACTAAACTAGATCTGTCTAAGCTAAGTCCACGGGTCCAACTAGCGCACTTCGAAGCTACTGATCAGTACCTGAAAAAACATATGGTGTAACAACCGTCAGCGAATAATGCTGAGTAACCCACTCCCACGCTTTGAGTACAATATAGGTAGATATAAGAAAACCATTTTGAGACTGAGGAATACATATATAGTCCTAAACAACTCTAGCTTTAAACCAAAATCAAGACTCCAGACGCATCAACAGACTGGATACGATAAAACAACATAAAGATACTATCATGCAACCTAGAACCGCAAGACAAGGCAATAACAAGGCTCAGAAATAACAAGCAATAACACCAGCACACACATCCATGATCCAACCATATACCAAGTTCCAACCTTCACGCCTCTCCAACCTTATTTCAGTTCCAACCTGTACCTCCAGGCCACCCTTATAACGTCTTCATTATTCCTCTAGAGCACTCATACTCCCCACTGACATACCGCAAACAAGACCACCAATCTGATAGCATCGCGGTGCCATATAACATGATCTGTGCCTTTAGCTATGAAATGTGAGTGTTGATGCATGATCTTGTGAAAATGCATATCTAGAGCTTGTGTTTATGGTTCATTTGTGCCATTGCTTGGCATTTCCTTTGATTCAAGTCATTTTGTTGTATTGGGTGAGATTTGACATGTTTTGGACTTGAATTTGAGTTTGGAGATGAAAATCCCCGAAGGGATTATTTTGGTACAGGACGTGTACCCACGGGCGGAACGGCGGGCGGGGCACCACCCGCCGCCCCACCCGCGGATACAAGGCTTGTGGGAGTGTGTTCCCGCGGGCGGGGCACTACCCATGGATCCACACGCGGGGAACAAGTTGGCTTTGTTTGGGGATTTGTTCCCCGTGATTCTTTTGACTCGGTATTTGGTCTTTTGACTTCCCGATGTTCTTTTGTGGAACTATTTGAGTGTCTTCTTGATGTTTTGTATGTCTAGAACTATATGGTAGGATTCCATATAGGTTTTGGTGTCGTGAATCGTGCTAAGTGTTCAACATTGTGATTCGATGAACCGTGATGAGTCTTGTGTGTTCTTCGGAACTATCTTTGGTTTACCCATTTGATAGGCATGTTAGTTCGGTATTTAAATGCTAGCATATGTGTTATTTGTACCTTCCTATTGGTTGATGATAACTTGTGTTATTCATCGTTGTTGTTGTTGGGATGTGACCCACTCCTTGATTGAGTATGGTTTCATATCTTCGTTGTGATCCATTGATTGATTCCTGTTGAGGTGTGATGCGTGTGTGGCTTTACCTGGATTGCACGATTAGTGGTATGGGACACTAGTCACCAAGGTATTGCAGCGGTTCTCGTGGTGGCCGTGACGTGACTATGGAGTTGTGACCTTTGTGTAAGGTTCACGTGATTCTTGGGTGGCATGTGTTGCCGTGTGTGTGATCGGTACCCTCGTGTACTATGAAATCGATGGTTCTGTTGGAGAGGGGACGACGGTCCTCGAAGGGAAAAGGTTGGACTTGGTGTACAAGGGTCCTGGAGGTAAAGGTTGGAACTAGATATAAGGTTGGGGGTAGCTATAAGGTTGGAACCGGGCATAAGGAAGGCATATCAACTCGTGATGAGTGATGTCACGAGGGTTTGTGTAGCCGTTGTTGTGAGTTCTCTTCTTGTGACGTGTGTAGTCACAAGGGCATGTGGTGCCTAGGCATGTGTTGCCATCGGTCTTGTCTTTATCTTGGTGTTGTGGTTATCCTTTGTGGTTTTGGGATGTGTTCCCGTATCCTTGTTGAGAGTGTTGAGTCTTTTGTTGACTATTGCTCTTGGTTTTGTACTTATATACTTATGTATTCCGTTTCGAAAATGGCTTTACAACTTATATCTTATCTATGTATGATATTTCACATGTATTGATGGGTTACCAACATTATTCGCTGACCGGGCGTCGTCCCATGTTTTATTGTGTTCTTTCAGCTGATGTCTAGGCGAGTGCGCATTCTAGTACTTGCTAGTGTAGCTTCTCCCGCTTGTTTTATGGCCTGTGTGCCGGTTTAGTTGTAGACCTTTGAGACTATGGATTAGTTGTAAACAATGCAGATATTGCCGTAGCGTTCATCCTTTTTGGTGAACGTGGCATAACACCCCGTGTTTTGGATTTATGTTATCTAGTTATCTTTCAGTCTTCCGCTGTGTTTGTTGTTTAGTTCAGTTATCTGCATGTTTAAGGCATTTAAATAGCTTGTTTTTAGGGGGTGTTACAGGTCACCCATTATGTGACTGCGGTAAGTCAAGCACGCTTAACCACGGTTGTCCCGATGAGAGAAGGGTAGAACTGGCAACGTTCTACTTCTGCCAAGAAGCTGATCTGTGGTGGGTCCATGAGGGTCCGACCTTCCTTGAAGAGCCTGAGCTTGGTTGGTCCGCGCTTAAGGATAGGATGCGCGAGAGGTTTTACCCAGCGCATGTGCGAGCCGCCATGTTTGATGAGTTCCTTCACCTGCAGCAAGGATCCCTGTCTGTGGTCGAGTACCACAAGAAGTTGTTGGAGTTGGCGCGCTTTGCTCGGATGCTTGTGCCTACGGAGCTTGCTAAGGTTGAGAGATTCGTTGCTGGTCTGAATTATGAGGGACGAAAAGCGTTGACGGTGAGTAGGCCAAGTTCCCTTAAGGATGCGTATCTGAGTGCCGCGGATCTGTATCGTGTTCAGCAGCTTCAGAAATGATCTTACGAGCTAGCTAGGAAGAGGGTTGAGAGCGGAGGTTCTTCCACCTTTAAGAAGCCATGACCGAGTTTTCAGACCAAGAACGTGTCATCCTCCTCTCAAGGACTTAACCGGATGGATAAAGGGAATCAAGTCAAGACACCTCCTTGTCATAGGCGTGGGAAGTTGCATGCTGGTCAGAACTGCAGCGGCTACGCGTTGCGATTTTTTTGTTGTGGTGATAGAGGTCACAAGGTTGCGGAGTGCCCCCAGCAAGCCAATCAGCGGGTGTTGCCACCACCCCCGGGAGTCGGAGGAGCCCAGGGAGGTAGTTCGGGTCGTGGAGCAGTTGGAGCTAGGCCGCCAGGGAGAGTCTTCGTGATGGGGCGTTCGCAGACTGAGTCTAAGGGTTTGGTGGAAGAGGAGTTGGCAGGTAATCCTATCCTAGCCTATTCTTGTTTTTCACAAATATCGTGTTCTTTGTTGTCTTGAGTGTTACCTCATGTTTCGTTGTTGTCTATATGAGTTACTTGGCAATCCTTGACATGTTTTCCTTTGGTATTGATTCCTTTGGAGTTAGGTGTAAACTCTTCTTGTTAAGTGACTTCTTTAGTTTGGTCTATAAGTTTCGTTGTGGAGTTAGCTATCCATCTTGGAAATGAGTTGTGCTTGGGTCAATTCTACAATCCTTATATTTGGTCATTCTTGCAACTATCTTTTTGAGAAATCCTTTAAATTTTCCCAAGTATCCTTTGAAATTTGAAATTAGTAAATCCATACCAAAAATCCTTTCTTGTGTAGCTTAAAAGCCAAGCCAAAATGTTTAATTGTAACCCCTTGAATTTCAAACCTGGGCCTAATCTTTGCCAACCCAACCTTTAAACCACTTGAGCTAATTATCTTCCTTAGAACTTACTCAATTTTAATTTCATCTAAACCGTAAATTCCCACTTTACCCAAATCCCAAAATTTAATCATCTTTTCCCCAATTTTTCCCACAATCCCTAATTCCCCAATTTTTCCCACACTACAAGAAAAATCATGAATCGCGACGGAAACTCGCGACGGACTACATTTCATCGCCATTTAGCTACCGACTACATTCCGTTGCTAAATGGCGACGGAAACGGCGACGGAATTAAATTCTGTCGTGTATCTTGGCGCAAAGATAAGATAAAGTCCGCGAAATATTGGCGGCAAATATTCACGACCGAATTGGCGACGGAAGTAATTTACGTCGTCCATTTTGCGACCGAAAAGGCGACCGATTTGTGTTCCGTCGTTAAATGGCGACGGAATTGGCGACCGATTTGATCCCGTCCTTAAATGAATTAAATTTTAGATTATGGACTAAATATGGCGACGGAAATTGCGACCACCTAGATTCCGTCGCAATATTTTAATTAAATTTTATTTTTCTTCTACTTAAACGCTGCGTTTTGACTACGAAATTAGAATTAAATTAAAATAAAAAACCTTTTTAACCCTAAGTCCTAAAATCTCTCAAAGACATCAGAACTCCCTCGTGAACACTCTATCGCATACACTCAATAGCGAACACTCTATCGTAGAAGACAGCAGCACACCGCCGTCGTCATCACCGTGCAGCCGTCGTCGTGCCGCCGTGGTCATGACCAAAACTCCATAGCCGTCGCCTCCTCCTCCATTTCTGACCGGTAATTCATTTTCTCTTCATCCTTTTTTTTTTTGACTTTATTGACTTGATTTTCCAAGTTTGATGAATCTGTTCTAAATTCATGAAATTGACTTGTAGAACAATCTCTGCATCATAATGTATAATTATTTTTTAAATTTCATTTTAAAATAGTCATCATATGTCTTAAATTAGAAGAATGGCGTAGGGGTAATGCTTGTGTTGTTAATTGTTTTTCGTGTTTATGACCATGAATTTGGAATTTGAAAAAAAGTGAAATGATGATTGTAGTTTAGAATCATTGGAATGATAGCTCCTGGTTTACATGACAGTGTGTGGTTGTGGACTTAGTGATCCCAGTGGATTTATCACATTAGTATATTGGACTATTCTAACACATTATATATAAGACAAACTTTTATCCTTTTTGGTACGCATTATAAGACAAAATTATATATGATTCCCTATCCTGTACTGTTTTAGGCTTTTAGCTTGGTTATTGGTACTGAAAGTTCTGCACTGTGTTTCTTGAATCAGCCCCATTCCAAAGGGAGCCAGATCTGGCATAATCAGATATTCATAGCCCAGTTATAGCCAAACATAGTATTGGAATTAATTGTTTGATTCCTTGCTTGTTGTGAAACATAGTTGTGGTGGTCCTCTTGATATGTAAAACTCAATACTTGTCTACTATTCAGTTTGCTGGTGTTTGCATTAGATGTATAGAGTTTAGTGAATCTAAGGATTTTGAGTTTGTAAAACAAAAAGAATATGTAAAACATAGTTGAGTTTGCTGTAATGTTTTGGCTTTTCTTCTAAATTTTGCAATGAATTCGTTTCTACAAATTAAAAGATTAAATTTATTTATAAGAAGCTAATGGCTGGTTATAATTACATTTTTAGATCCTTCCAAAATTAAACAAAAAAGATCAAAAGTGACTGCCTAACCAACTAATCATTCATCTAGCCATGATGATTTGCATGCTTGGAGGACAAGCACTTGAATACAAACATTTATTATAAGGGTCATTTGTTGTAATGTGATTGGATCTTTTCTTATTTGATTGGAGAATGTTGCTGATTGTTTACATATTTTGTACATATTTAGTTGGGTGTTGCATTCTGTGTGGTACTTTCAGTGCTGCAGGCCTTTTCCCTGGTTATAAAATTAATATAAAATTGACATACATAACCTGAAAATAACATTACCTGCTGTAACTGATCCTCTTGGAGAGTTGACATACATAACCATATCTTGTCAATATATACATTAATAAGATCAGAAAATAAATTACAATGGAAATGAAACTAAAAATTTTCACAGATTTTTTAGAACAAAACATTTGTCATATGAGTAATGAGAAATAGAAACGGAAAATTGAACCGGAGGACCAAAAGTGATACTAGTTAGAAAGTCATGGACTTAATTTGAAAAAAAAAATAATAGTCAAGGACCAAAAGTGCTTCAAATATGATAGTCAAAGGATCAAAAGTGATACTTACTCTTTTTTAAAATATTAGAGGCGGTTATTAAGTATCGCTAAATAATTTTTTGTTTTTATAATTATGTGTCGCTAAATGTTTTGTATATGCTATTCTTGAGTATCTATTTGGAATAATAGTCTTATGTCATATGAATTGATTGGCAGGGTAGGCTATAAAGTCTTGAATTTGTGGTGTTCAAGTATCTAAATCTTGAATTTTTGCTGTTCAAGTATCTAAATATTGAATTTGTGGTGTTCAACTGTCTTGTGGCTTTCTTGCATAATTGGAACTGCAAGTTCTTTTGATCTATATGCTTTCTCCTAGCATCTTGTGTCTTTATTAAGCATTTTTTCCAGGTTACTGAGAAAGCATGATGAGTTTGAAGTGTTAGAACTGTGTGTGTTACTGCATTGTGCTTTTGACATGTTAAACATGATGAGTTTGTTTTTTAAATGAAATTTTATCATCCATTTTGATTTTGCCTTGTTAAATTTTTAAAACATGGTTGATTGTGATTATTACAGGATTTGTTTCACTTGGGGAACTATTAATTAGAGTTGAAGACTCAAACAGAAGTGGATCCTCAAAGCGTTTGACTTCAGCATCCAATACTGGTAAGGAAGATGTAGTGTATTGTATTTTAATTCTAAACTGATGTAGTGTATAATGCTTGGGAGATAAAGGCTAAAAGAAGATATGCTGATTACATAAGCAGAATAAGGAAAAAACCAAGACCTCCCTATGTCCCACCAGAAATATGGACAAAATGGAATGATGTTTGGAATTCTGAGGAGGGCAAGAAGAAAACAGAATTGGCTAGGAGAAATAGGCGTGGAGGAGTTTTAACTGGAGTTGCTCAATCTACCCATACCACAGGATCAACACCTCACGTAAAAGTTGCAGCTCAACTTGTAAGTTCATTTGAATTGTTTAAGTTATAAGTATTATGTGTTTTGTATTATATGGAAAGAAGATATGGAAACTTGAGATTTATTTGAACTTGAATGATTTGATAATAAGGATTGATTGAACTTAGGAGTAGAAATTGCAGAGTTAATTTGGGAAGCACTAGCCTAAATCTTTTATTGAGGATTCTAGGTAGAATGAATAACTAGAGTTTACTTGATTCCAACTTTTATGTTTTTTGTTGATTGTGATTGTGTTTTATTGTGTTTATTGATTGATTTGGAGATTATAATTGAATTGTATTATATATTGAACAGGGAGATAGTCTTATATACAAAGGAAACTCTGTCGAAATTTTTCTTACTTTAATAATTGCTTTTGTTTGTTAAATATAATTTGTAGAAAGGACAATTGGGTCATTGTCCATCGTATTATGAACTGTTCAGGCATACACATACCAAACAACACGATGGGCAAACATTCATAGTTGAAAAAGCCAAACAAATTCATGTAAGTTTAATTTGTTTTAAGTTTTTAAAATATATATGCCTTTACATATATTTTGTACTAAATCTCTAACATATTTTAGGAACAAGTTGAATCGCAACGGGAGATGTTGGCAGAAAATGGAGAGCAGGTGGATGACAATCAATTATACTATGACGCGGTTGGTGGACACGATAAGAAAAGAAGAGTTTATGGACTTGGTTCATATGGTTGTTTTGTTGTTTATGGTCCAACTAATGATAACACTTCTAGCAATATGACACCAACATCGCGACCACCCGACAATGCTACTTCTACTTCTGCAAATGTACAACATGAAATTCAGAGTTTGAAGGAAACTATTCTCCTTATGCAACAAGGACTTGATGCTATTGATGGCGGGAGAGCGGGTACTTCATCATCACCTCCATCTCAAATCAATTGATTTTAATGGTTGTTTGTTAATGTTGTTTAGACTTGAATTGACTATTATATTATGTATTAAGTGTGGATTGATAATGTATTATTATGTTGTTTAGACTTGAATTGACTATTATATTATGTATTAAGTGTGGATTGATAATGTATTATTATGTTGTTTAGAGTGTAATTGACGATTATATTATGTATGAAATGTGGGTTGGTAATGTATTAGTATTTTAACTTAATTTAGGGAGGTGTATTCAATCATGACTTTCATAGAGTTTTAAAGACTTTTATAAACTTTAAAAGTTTGGAGGTATTCAATTCAAACTTTTAAAGAGTCTTTAAAAGTCAGGCGGTATTCAATCAAGATTTTTAAAGAGTCTTTAAAAGTTGTGTGGTATTCGATTAAGACTTTTAAAGAGTCTTTAAAAGTCATGTGGTATTCAAAAAGTTATGAACTTTGGTAGACTTTTTAATTTTAAGACTTTTGTAGACTTTTCCTTCTCAAATATAAATAGTTGAAATCCAACCATCAACCCCAAGATTTCAAAATTTTCTTTCTTACAACTTTGAATGTTTTCTCTCCCTATTAAAACTCTATTTTTTTCTCCCTATTTAAACTTTATAAACCTATCTAAATTCAATAAAAAAAAATTTTTCTTCATTATCCTATATTTTCCTCATACCTAAACTCTACTAATTTTTTTCTCTCTCTCTCTCCTAAACTTTACAATCTTCATATAAAAATTTGAAATAATATTATTTTTACTTCATTATTGCTTGTTTATATTGATTTTTATTTTTTCTATGAATTTTTTATCCCTAACTTTCTCTAATTCCCTCTAAATACATGAACAAAGCAAAATTTTCATTGTCAAATTTTTGTATATGTTTCATAATATTCATATAAATACTTATATATTTTGTTTTTTTTATTCTTTTTATGCTTATATTCGTAATATATATTTTTCCTTTTTAAACAACAGGTTACTATGAATAGCGAACTACTGTTCGCCATAACAATTTGGGGTTGCAAACAGTAACACCTTGTTGCTACTTGCAGTCTCAAATTGCTATTGCAAATAATAGTACTTTGCGTGATAGATGCCTAGCAATATATCAAGTATAATTTTTTATATATATATTATTAATATTATATTTTTATTTTTTATTTTAGGGAACTTGTAATTATATTTTTAAATATTTTATTTGATCAGTTGTTTTATTAATAATATATATAAGTAATTAGCATTTTTTAAAAGAATAAGTAATTAGCATATAAGTCTCAGCATACTAGGGATAAAAATAATAATCTTGAGAATGTTGATATGGGTGAAGAACTATATAATAAGAAGAATTTTATGATATACTATAAATGTTTTGTAAGAAAATTATAAATGATAAGAATCAAAATCATTGAAAGTTTGTAAGGATGTATTCAATTTAGAATTTCAATGACTTTTGTAGACTTTTTAAAATAAAAAGTTGATAAAAATCTATAAATTTTTTTTATATAGACTTTTATAGAGTCTTATAAAGTTTTAAAAAGTTTTAAACAACTCTATGAAAGTCAATCAAAGTTTATTAAAATCAATCATTTTAAAAGTCTTTAAAACTCTACAAAAGTCATGATTGAATACACCCCCTTTAGAATTATGTTATCTTTTATTTTAAAAACATTCATTACTATTTAAAATCACAATTTTATTTTTAAATAATTCAAAAACGCGACGGAATATTTGTTGCTAAGGAAGCGACGGAATTACGACGGAAAACATTTCCGTTGCGAAATTAGAGACGGAATTGCCGACCGAAAAGATAATATGGCGACGAAATATTCGGTTTAGAAATAACGACGGATTTGCGACGGAAACAGTTTCGTTGCGAATTTGGCGACGAAAATTGCGATGGAATAATTCCGTCGCCATTTGGCGACGGAAATAGTCCGTCGCGAATTCCGTCGCCAAATGTTGCGACGGAATTATTCCGTCGTCTACCAAAATACGACATGGTGATAGACGACGGAATAAATTCCGTCGCCATTCCGTCGCAAAACGCGATTCGCGACGGAATATTGCCCATTTTTCCGTCGCGATTCGTGATTTTTCTTGTAGTGCCACAATCCCTAATTCCCCAATTTTTCCTTTCTTCTTCTTCCCTACCCGTGAACCCCGAGAACCCACCCCCACCCATCGCCACCAGCAACCCGCCACCCCACCGCCGGCGTAGCAGCCAGCCGCCACCGCCTCGCGGTCCGTTGCCGACGTGCGCCGCCTGCCGGAGCTGCCCGGTTCGCCGAAGCCGAGAGAGAGAGAGAGAGCAACGAGGGAGAGAGAGAGCGGCGAGAGTGAGAGAGAGCGGTCGAGAGAGAAGAAAAAGAGGAGAAGCCCTGGGTCCTTTTGTTGAGCTTTCGGTCATCATCAATCATGCCTAGAAGGTCAAGTTTGGCAAGAAAAATGGAATGGGTGGATGCCCATTATCTCGTTCTTAAAGGTAAAGCTTTTGATCCGGAATATTTTCCTAATTCCTTGTTGGATATGCTTAGATTCCAAGGTTTGTTGGATGGGTTCCTCGCCATAAGGGCCGAAACTTACCCGAGTTTAGTAAAGGAATTTTATCGTCACATGGTTGTGACAAAGGAGGGTGATAAGCTTGAAATCACTTCTAAAGTGAGAGGTGTGAAGGTTGTGCTTTTTGAGAAGAGGCTGGCTCAGCTTTTGAGTTTATCTGCTTCAGGAGTTGCTCAGTATAGTGGCCATTCATGGATTAGTACGGATACCATGGGGTACCGGGACTATTTAAGTTATATGTTGGGCCGTACGAGTAGTTTCACTCAAGCTTCAAGGTCGGAGAAAAAGTGGTTGTCCGCGGAGTAACGGATTTTGGTTTTGTTGGTATCGGATTGTTTGTTGCCTAATAACAACAAAAGCAGTTTGTTGGGAAAGTTGGAGTGCACCATTGCCTTTGCCTCAAGAATATGGTTAAGTTCAACTTGCCAGCATTGATGTTGCAGCATATGGTTTTCTGTCGGGATCATAACCGGAAAAGCCTACCGTATGGGATGGTGTTGAGTTGGATTTTGGTTAGGAAAGGTGTAAGCGCGGTTGGTTGTCTCCCGAAGGCCGTGGGAAAGATGGTGTTGGATGCCACCAATCTTCGGAGTTGTAATTTGTTTTAGTTGGAAGATGGTGACTACATCATGCTTGAAGAAGTGGCAAGAAAAACACCTGAAGAAAGGGCAAAGTTGGCAACGGAGCTTGGGATTCATGCCGGGAAGTTGAGCCTCGCTATCCAGAGTTTGGGCGGTGATGAAGAAGTTGAGGAGGAAGCAGACCAAGAAGAAGAAGTGGAAGCACCGGAAGTTGCCGAAGCCGAAGAAAGTGATTCGAATAGTGAGGAAAATCGAAGAAGGAGAGAAGCTCGCACGAAGAGGGAGCACGATGCCATGGCGCATGAGGAGCGCGTTGTCACCTTGCTTCCCCAACAGAACAGCATGATCGCAGAAGGCTTCGCGTTTATGAAGGCGCAGTTTGTCGCAGTGCACCAGAGGTTAGACCAGATCGAAGCCAGTTCAAGCCGCAGAGGAGAAGATGAAGAGGAGTCTGAGGAGGCTGAGGAGTCGGAGAGTGAGGAGTTCTAGCTTGTGTTGTGGTAAACCCGTTCGCCTTTTCCTTGTTGTTGTTTTCTTCTTAGCCGTTGTTAGTTTGGTAGTAGTTTGCTGTTTGCCTGGGATGCTTGTTTTGCTTGTTGCTTTGTTGTTTAGTTAGCCTAGTAGTTGGTGTTGGTTGTCTAGTTCTTGGTTGTTGTCTAGAAGTCGGTGTTTGTGTTGAGGCTAGAGTTCTTGATGCTCAATCTATCCGTTTGTTAAACTCTTGCCAATCCTTGATTTGAAACGCCTTCTTTCTTGCTTTGGAATACTTCATTGCCTTGGAATTTTGTGAAATCTTTTGGAGTCTTTGACCAAAAGAGTTTGTTCTTGAACCTCTTGTCACAATGTTGTTTGTTTTCACCGTTTGCCTTTAATTCGTCGTACCCAAGCTTCGGGGACGAAGCTTCTTTGAAGGGGGAGAGGATGTGACACCCCGAAATCCAAATTCAATTAAGGGATTAATTGAGAAATTAATCCTATTTCAATTTTTAATTTAATTCCTGAAATTTAATAGTTGGGACAATTAATTGACTAGTCAACCCCAAAATCAAAGTTGTACATTGAGCTTTGTAAGGAGTTCCCTTGTTCCTTACACTTCCTTATGTTAGTAAGGGTATTCTTGACCTTTCACTTGTTGTTGGTATTGTAACCTAATCTAGTAGACCACCTTCATTCTCTCCTTACACTTTTCTAAAAATCTAGCTCCACCTTCTCTCTAAAAAGGTGAGTAGCTTTTCTTCCAAGCCAAGTTGGAACCTTGCCAAAACTTCAAGAGTTGCTTCCAAGATTCAACATTTCTTATATTTGGGCATCTAGGAGGGTAAGATCTAAGTTCATCTTGTGTTTTTGGTTTTATCTAAGGTGTCTTTTCTTAAAGATAGGATCTTTATGATCTTTTGGTATGTTCTTGAAGTGGGTTTGGAAGGTGAGCCTAGTGAGGAGCTTGTTGAGGTGTAAAGTGAAGTCTTTAGTCTACAAGAGGTAACTCATGCTCTACAAAACCTATTTTGCTTACCTATATGTGATTTCTTAGATTCTACATGTGTTTTGCTATGAAATGTGAGTGTTGATGCATGATCTTGTGAAAATGCATATCTAGAGCTTGTGTTTAGGGTTCATTTGTGTCATTGCTTGGCATTTCCTTTGATTCAAGTCATTTTGTTGTATTGGGTGAGATTTGACATGTTTTGGACTTGAATTTGAGTTTGGAGATGAAAATCCCCAAAGGGATTGTTTTGGTACAGGACGTGTACCCACGGGCGGAACGGCGGGCGGGGCACCACCCGCCGCCCCACCCGCGGGTACTAGGCTTGTGGGAGTGTGTTCCCGCGGGCGGGGCACTACCCGTGGGTCCACCCGCGGGGAACAAGTTGGTTTTGTTTGGGGATTTGTTCCCCGTGATTCTTTTGACTCGGTATTTGGTCTTTTGACTTCCCGATGTTCTTTTGTGGAACTATTTGAGTGTCTTCTTGATGTTTCGTATGTCTAGAACTATATGGTAGGATTCCATATAAGTTTTGGTGTCGTGAATCGTGCTAAGTGTTCAACATTGTGATTTGTTGAACCGTGATGAGTCTTGTGTGTTCTTCGGAACTATCTTTGGTTTACCCGTTTGATAAGCATGCTAGTTCGGTATTTAAATGCTAGCATGTGTGTTGTTTGTACCTTCCTATTGGTTGATGATAACTTGTGTTATTCATCGTTGTTGTTGTTGGGCTGTGACCCACTCCTTGATTGAGTATGATTTCATATATTCGTTGTGATCCATTGATTGATTCCTGTTGAGGTGTGATGCGTGTGTGGCTTTACCTGGATTGCACGATTAGTGGTATGGGACACTAGTCACCAAGGTATTGCAGCGGTCCTCGTGGTGGCCCTGACGTGATTATGGAGTTGTGACCTTTGTGTAAGGTTCAAGTGATTCTTGGGTGGCATGTGTTGCCGTGTGTGTGATCGGTACTCTCGTGTACTATGAAATCGGTGGTTCTGTTGGAGATCTGTTGGAGAGGGGACGACGGTCCTCGGAGGGAAAAGGTTGGACTTGGTGTACAAGGGTCCTAGAGGTAAAGGTTGGAACTAGATATAAGGTTGGGGGTAGCCATAAGGTTGGAACCGGGCATAAGGAAGGCATATCAACTCGTGATGAGTGATGTCACGAGGGCTTGTGTAGCCGTTGTTGTGAGTTCTCTTCTTGTGACGTGTGTAGTCACAAGGGCATGTGGTGCCTAGGCATGTGTTGCCATCGGTCTTGTCTTTATCTTGGTGTTGTGGTTATCCTTTGTGGTTTTGAGATGTGTTCCCGTATCCTTGTTGAGAGTGTTGAGTCTTGTGTTGACTATTGCTCTTGGTTTTGTACTTATATATTTATGTATTCCGTTTCGAAAATGGCTTTACAACTTATATCTTATCTATGTATGATATTTCACATGTATTGATGGGTTACCAACATTATTCGCTGACCGGGCGTCGTCCCATGTTTTATTGTGTTCTTCCAGGTGATGTGTAGGCAAGTGCGCAGTCTAGTACTTGCCAGTGTAGCTTCTCCCGCTTGTTTTATGGCCCAGATATTACCGTAGCGTTCATCATTTTTGGTGAACGTGGCATAACACCCCGTGTTTTGGATTTATGTTATCTAGTTATCTTTCAGTCTTCCGCTGTGTTTGTTGTTTAGTTCAGTTATCTGCATGTTTAAGGCTTTTAAATAGCTTATTTTTAGGGGATGTTACAGGTCACCCATTATGTGACTGCGGTAAGTCAAGCACGCTTAACCACAGAGTTCATTGACTATCTAGTTATCATATCTTACTTAAAACCAATTGGTGATTAGTAAGTGGACATTAACCATTTAACCACATCCCTCCATGATAAGCCACAATGCCACATCTCGAATCGAGCAAAAGTGAATTCGGCCAACCTGACTAACGCCCAACAATTTTTTAATTATGTAAAGTAACAATGAATATTATGTAATTATTTTAGTTGGGGAGAATATTATTTTTTAAATCTTTTATCTTTTATCTTTTATTGTCTTAAAAGTACAAATAAAAAAAAAAAAATCGTTTTACGGATCTGTAGGCTGACGTGTACTCCATTTGGCCCTCGCAATCCATGATCCAAAACCGGGCCCCATCCGCCATCCGAAATTCTTACCCGAACCCGGTACAGCTTCATCGTGAAATGAATCCACGCACTCACAAAAACACTTCGCACCTCTCTCTCTCTCTCTCTCTCTCTCTCTCTCTCTCTCTCTCTTCAGGCACTTTTTTGCGTTTCTCTCTCTATACCTATCTTCTTCGATCCATTCATCACTGTAAGTCCGATATCCACCTAATCTCCAATCAAATTCGTACTTTTCAGATCCTCTGAATTTAAAAATCAAGTGTTTTCCTTTTTCACTCTGTGAGTAAAAGTAGAAATGATTTCATTTTGTTTGATTGCGTTTTTTAATTCGCCAGTTCCAAGCTGATTGTTCTCGATTTTTATACGATTGGATTTTGTTTGATTTAACTCTGCCTTGTGAGCTCTGGCTTTTAATTCATTTTGCTGGTTCGATTTGATTTGGTTTTTGATTGTTTTGGATGATTTTTAGTTTTTGATTAATTTGTTATATATACGGATGTATTGATTTTGCATTCGATCAATGTGTTTGATCAATCTGTATTGATGAGCGTTTGAGTGCTGTGGTTTTCTAGTTTGACTCTGAATTTTCAGATAACGAAAGCTCGGAGTTAACTGTTCTTTCTATTCTGATGTTCTTCCATTATTTAATTTCAACTGGACTCTTATTTCTATATACATTTTTATGTGATGCATAAGCAATTGATTTGTTTGTTTGTTTTTTTTTTTTATTTTTTATTTTTTTATTTTTTATTTTTTATTTTTTTTGTGTGCTGTTTAGATATAGCTGTTAGTGAATTCATTATGTGTATTGGACAAGAACTTTATTATAACTCGTGTTTCAATCCTTTTCAAAGGCAACCATGAGTGACGAGGGAGAAAAGACCTGTCCTCTCTGTGCTGAGGAGATGGACCTGACAGATCAACAATTGAAACCCTGCAAATGTGGTTATGAGGTTTGTTATTCTTTTTTATTTTTTGATTATTCTATTAAAATGAGTCTGAAACTGAACTAACCATTTGTGCTCTATTTTAGCTTACTGATTACAACTTCAAATGTTTTAAATTTTTGTGCTGTCAATTTCTGTAAGTTTTATGCTTAAGTATTGAACTGGTGCCTTTGATTCGTCATTTTATCATGATCCCCACCATTTCACTTGTTGCCCATCCCAGCATAATACTCTGTATATAGGTCATAGGATGTGATGATATATGGTGCTTTAAAATTGTATTCTTAGACCAGTAAATTTATTCTTTTACTTGTACCTACACTTTTAGATTTAAATCACCATTTTCTTTTACAAGTAGAACTATTATGCTCTGTATTGGGGTTTTGCAGATATGTGTTTGGTGCTGGCATCACATTATGGACATGGCTGAGAAGGATGCGGTGGAGGGCAGGTGTCCAGCATGTCGTACTCCTTATAACAAGGAAAAAATTGTTGGCACGACGCCAAATTGTGAAAAGTAATATTATGAACTGAGGGATTTTTGCTAGATATTATCTCATTGACTTTTATGGTTCTGTAAATTTTTTCTTTATCATTCATTGTCTTTGCAGGATTGTGGCTGAGATGAATATGGAGAAAAAGCTGAAGTCACAGAAGACCAAATGTAAAACATCTGATTCAAGGAAGCAACTTAACAATATGCGAGTGATCCAAAGAAATCTTGTCTACATAGTGGGGTTGCCGCTTAATTTAGCTGATGAAGAAGTGCGTACTGTTGTTCATTAACTCTTTGTAACTAATTTTCCACTTGGTTTTCTTCATGACTAAACACCCTTGATACTTTAAGCAGCTGTTGCAGAGCAAGGAATATTTTGGTAAGTATGGAAGGGTTTTGAAGGTCTCTATATCACGAACAGCAGCTGGCGCTATTCAGCAATTTGCAAATAGTACATGTAGTGTGTAAGTTTTATTCTTGAGGACTACATTTATTGTTGACTAATTTCCAAATAAAGTGGCAGTATAAAAATCTGCTTTTGTCTTTCATTTATTCTGTTATTTGTCTTACTGGTTTCTGCATGCCTTTGTTTTAAATAAATCTCAGCAAGTTTTTTTCTTATGAAATGTTTCCTTCGAGCCAGATATATTACCTACACACAAGAGGAGGAAGCAGTTTGCTGTATCCAGTCTGTACATGGATTTCTTTTGGATGGCAGACCTCTAAGGTGATTGCAACTTTTGGTTCACAATGTGCTTTTCCCTGTATGATCGTTCACTGATTTGAAATTCCATTTTCCAGAGCATGCTTTGGAACCACAAAATACTGTCATGCATGGCTTAGAAATGTGGTATGACCTCTGAATGAATTTGGGCAAATGAAAATGAATTGTCACCCTGTTTTTTTGGTACACATTTGAAATTAATAATTGAAATATTTTCTGATAGTGAATCTTTGTTATCTTCTTTCCTGCTTTTCCTCTAGCCTTGCACAAACCCTGATTGTCTCTACTTGCATGAAATTGGGTCACAAGAAGATAGCTTTACTAAAGATGAAGTCATATCTGCTTACACAAGGTACATGACTTATTCATCCATCTCTTATTATTTTTTTTTTCTTTTTCATTTTAAAATTTTGTCACTGTAACCATATTCCCTTACATGACATCAGTAACCATATTCCCTTACATGACATCAGTAAGGGGGGAGAGCACTAGTTTCGGAAGGTGACAAACAGGAGTATTGACAAAAGCCTGATTCTAAAACATAGCATTTGTAGTAAACATTATTTGCACTTTTGACAAGCGCCTTCTTAACAGTTTGATCTCAAGCTGATCTTTGATAAAGACATACCCTAGTCCTTTCATAAGCATAAAACTGCCCCTTTTTGGATTTTTATAAACTGGATCCAGCTACATACACTTGATTAAAAATAAATAAATATTTCGGACCAATATATATATATATATATATATATATATATATATATATATATATATATATATATATTGATAATCATTGGGACCAATATTCTCTTTGTAATAGTTTGTATCAATTTGATTAAGAATAGTTTGATAGAGCTAGGAGATTAAGAAATGGAAGTATGAACAAAAAACTATAAATATGGTAGATTGAGTTCTAAATCGAAAGAATGAGGGAAAAGTTAGATAGCAGGCAACAAGTTATTAAATCTAAAATTAACTAAATTGTGAGTTATTTTTACTACATCTGAAAAATCTAAGGTCTTTATAAATTTTAGTTAAAAAGAACAATTTTAAGAAAAAGAAACCATTTTGATCAAATGCAGAGCCTCAAGACCATTTTGCTTGAGAAATGAAGGGTTCCTTGATACCCCTCATTTAACAAGCCTCCATGGTGCTGTTGTTTAATTAGTTGGTTGCATCACTTGAGAAGTGAAAGGCTCCTTCTTAACAGGCTTCCCTGTTGCTATTGTTTAATACACTGGTAACATTCTATTAATGCGACACATGATGTTGCATTTACAGAATCCTACAAAGTGTTGCTTAATATAAAAGTGACTCTAGTTCATGTTAGCTAAATGTGTCATTGCATCTCATTCTTGAATGTGAAATACACAGTTTATTAACTGTCTAAATGCACCACATGCAAGCAAAAACTTTTCTTATTTACCATATTTTGGAAAATTGCTGTACACAGAATATTATTATAGCCCAGGCTTTCTTAGTTTCTAGATGAAAATCATGGTTATGTGGAGGTGCACTTTAAGGTTTTAGTTTATGCATCATAATTGATTCATCCAGTGCTACTTATATGTGACTTCCGTTTTAATTCGTGATTATCATTTAGTATGTGCATATCAAAATGAAAAGAACTTTGTTCTAGCATTTTACAGCTGTTTATTGGGTAGCTTCACTAACTTGAATTGTTATTATAAAGGAGTAGAGTTCAACAAATTACGGGTGCTACAAATTGTGTACAGCGGCGGTCAGGGACTCTTTTACCACCACCAGCTGATGATTATTGCCATAATGGCTCTGCTGCTTTGGCAGGGAAACCTATTAGTAAAAGTCTAAATGTAAGATTTTCTATTTTCATATGCTTCATTTTATTACTCTTTGTTTTTGAGGCAAGAGGTAGGAGTGTAGGACAGCATAAAGATGGAAAACCAAATATTTGGTCCTAATTATTGAAGCATTTCATCATATTATGAGAGTTTTGTTTCAATATTCTGGCATCATGTTTGCATATTTGTAATTTAGGATATACTCCACTCTCTATTTTGGCACACTTTGGCTGCCAATTTGATCTAGTGTTGTTAATTCTGATGCACGCTTATCTCTGTTGAATACATAATGTTGTCACCTTTCATACAGATTTCAGCTACAAGTGCCAGAATTTCTCCCCCAAATAGTAGCTCTGGTAGATCTGCTGCTCTTCCAGCTGGAGCTCTATGGTACATTGTCCTATGAGTTTTCTTCTTGTTGTTTATTTCCATGTAGCATATATATATATAATATGCATAAATGTATACATTTTCTAGGGGAACCCGTCCCTCTAATAGCCAACCACCATCTGCAAGTTTACCATGCCCAAATGGATCTCTCAGAGCAAAACCTGACAAGTGTAGCGATGCAGTGAAATTCTCCACAGCAGTTGGAAAGAACTCATTTTTGAATGCTGATCCAGGAAAGCAGCTAATCTGTGGTGAAGAAAGCAGCAACAATCAAGATAAAAGCAAAATAAAGATTTCACTACCTGCAAACCAGTATGCTGGTGCAGATCAAGCCTATGTTACTGAGACCCTTGCCACACCTGTACTTCCTTCTTGTTCATCTGTGAACAGTCAGTTTCATGGTCACCCTGCTTCTAAGGAAAAAGATGGACATTCAATTAAACCATCAAATCCTACAAGTTCTTTTGACCACTCTATGAAGTCTAACCAACCTGGTTCTCAAAAGGATTCAGATGACACAGCCAAAATTGACACTCAGATATTATGCCCAGATATGTCTTCATTAAGTATTGATAGACTTCAAAAGTCACGACAGAGTTTTACTGATCAATCAAGGGAGCCATTGAGTTCCCAGATAGAAAGCAAAGTTGCATTGTACTCCGATGAGAGTCACATAACAAGTGATACATCTGATTCGAGACTGGATTTGCAAACTTCATTTATACAGGATGTTACTTGTGGAAATGGAGACAATTCTTTATCTGCTTATGACCAAAGGCCTAGGGATCCAGAATCAAGTACCGACAGAAGCCACAATCCAAATTTATCAGAGTCTTTTCATTCTTCAACTCAGTGTCTCCTACTGTCTGACAATGTTGGATCTATTAAATCTGATATGCAAATTGTAGGGAAGTTTGACTCAATATTACCATCTTCAGGTATACAAGGGATCTCTGATGGATATCGGGATAACATAGCTACCTGTAAAACTGCTTTGGGAAGCACCGATAGAAGTTGCTTCTCATTGTCTAATGTAGATCAGAGGAAGGAAATGAAAAGCTTTGAAGGTGGACTTACAGGTGCTAGCCGCAATATCATAGAAGATATGGAAGAAAGTAGTATAATATCAAATATTTTGTCATTAGATTTTGATCCATGGAGTGAGCCATTAACTTCGCCTCAGAACTTGGTCAAGTTGTTAGGGGATACTGATAAAAAACCACCACTAAGCTCATTCAAGCTACACAGCAGTAATCAGTCAAGATTCTCCTTTGCAAGAGAGGAGGAACCTATAAGTCAAACAATTGATTTGGAACCATCTCTTTGTTATATTGAGCAAGCTTTTAATAATTGTCCCAGCCACAATTTCTCCACTAGCAGAGGCTTTCAACCAGATAATCTTGCGAGTCGGCGTGGTTTCTCTCTAGTAAATGAGGACTCTAATAGTTGTTCCAACAGTTACCTTTCTCTCTCTAACCACAAATCATCAGGCAAGTTACATCCTCTTCAGTTCCTTGTATGCTATTGTTTTGCGTGGATCTGTTGGGGTGGGGGGCTTGAATTACATTATTTGTTAGTTTGATGTGCTTTTAAATCCCATTCTTTCTCTTAAATCTTGAATCAGTCTCAAGATCTGAGATGTCAGCCCCACCAGGATTTTCAGCGACTAGCAGAGCACCACCGCCTATGTTTATGTCTCATAACAGAATGGAGAATAATTTTGACTCTCTCCCTGGTTAGTTTACTAAACTTGGTTGCACTTGCATTTGTTCTTTTTGTGTGTGCTACACTGCTACCTAGAGGTGTATGGATATCCTACTGGGATTTTAAATTCTTGAAAACAAAAACTATAGAAATTTGATTATCTTTCTTTCTTGTTCAATTTTATGATCACATTCTTCTTAGTAGGGAACTACTCACTTCAAACTCCTATGTTGAGGAATCAATATCAGGCTCCACCAACTGGAAATATGGTCGGCAATGAGGATGATATTGAGTTTATAGATCCTGCAATTTTGGCAGTGCATAAAGGGAATGTTCCAAGTGGCTCTAATGCCTCAGGCTTGAATGTGACTTCGGGTTTTCCTCTGCAACTGAGCACTTCTGAAAATGAGGGAAGACTTCATTTTTTAATGCAAAGATCACTTTCTCCACTTAGGAACCAGATATTTCCTGATACTGGGGACAGTTTTTCTGCCTTTGGTGATGCTTATAGAATTCCTTCTGGGATTTTGGAGCAAACTCTCTCCAGTAATCTCTCCCCATTTTCATCAGTCAGTGTTCCTGAATCTAGGAGTTCTGTTATGTCAAATGGCAACTGGGACATCTGGAACAGGATTAATGGTCAAAATGATTTGGGTGTATCTGAGCTCCTTCAAACAGAAAGGCTGGGTCTTAACAAGCTCTATACTGGATATGAGGATTCTAAGTTTGGTATGACTAATTCAGGGAATTTATATAGAACTTATGGGTTCTAAGTGCTTGAGAGAGGCTTTTTGGCTGGACTAGCAACAGAAAGGATGAAATAATCATGGCGTGAACAATAGGATTGCTAAGACAACCTGACCTTTCCATGCTCAGGATGTTTCAATTGCCATTCGTTACACAACCCGCTGATTTTGGCTACTTCATATCATAGACTTGCATCCAAAGATGGGAAGACTGATTTGTGATTGCCTGAATGACCTATACTTCAAGTTTGGTAAAGAATCTAGCCTTTTGAAAAAGGTTGTTCAGAAGCCAACAGGTCAGCATTAAGCTTGTGACTTTACTCTCTAGTAGTATTTTCACTTGGTGGTGCATATTTCTTATTTTATACTTGCTTTCAACTGTTTGAGGCCTGGGAAGTTGAGAAGAAGATTAGTCCTTGTAATGATGGAAAGATGTTTCACATATACTAATCAACAGACATGAAAGGGGTTGGAACTATCGATGGTTAGGTTCACTTGACATTGAGGTTACAAAGGACTTCTGAAATTGTGCTTATTCCTTTTCAATTTGTACTGTTTTTGAGTCTTGAGGAAGAGGAAACAACTTGCAAATGACTTTGTATACACTGATTTCAACCATAATCCTTCTGACAAAAGATTTCCCAGGCGAAAGAAGCTGAAGTTGAGGCTCAATAAGGTTTTATGCAGGATGCTAAAGAGGGTTGGATTTCATCTGCTGTTATCTGGTCATGCCGAGAACCGGGACACATTGCTACACATCAGTTATGGCAAAAATGGGTTCTAGAGAAACCACTTTGTCATTTTGATAGAGATTGTTTAGGTACTATACAAACTCAAGCCAAAATTGATGAGATTGAAAACTCTTCATACTATATATAGCATGTTAAATATGATGTCTGCTGTGAAAAGTTTGGATGGATAGATATTATAATGATATATATAGTAAAATGGTTGAACAATACCAGTGTGCAATGCCTGCTGATATTACTTTCCCTTCGCAAATGCCACCAGCATATGAATATGGGAGAATTGCACATTTCTTTTGAGTTTTTAGGTAAATAAATAGGCTTAGTGAATTTAGTTTTTATGTTTCGATGATACTCCCATTAAATATATAGAAAATTTTAAAACTAAAATATAAAGTCGTGGAGGTTAATGGTCTATGCTGACAACTCGATGACTAAGGTGGTAACACTTATTACACAAGAAATTTAATTTGTGTAAATTTCAGAAGTGTAAGTAGCATTGAATTGCTGTAGATGAATCTTTGGCATCTATACACACCCCAGGTCTGTGCTATATCACATCGAGACCTATCATTGCAAATTGCAATTGAAATTTAATCTTGATATTTCATTTGGCTATATCATTGTTGTTGCTCTATAATAATGCATATACTGCTCTGAAGTTACAAAAGCTGTATGTGATCAATCAACAGTAATTGTACAAAAGAGTCACAATCTTATCTACTGCAATCAATATTCAATAGTCAATAGATCGAAGACGTTAGGCTATTGTGGTGGCCTGACCTGCTGGTAATAGGATTGGGTAGGTGTATTTGTTGATGCATTGGGGTACGCGAAGCAAAGATTCAGGGATGTCACCTTGGGAGCTGTGATGGGAGAAGTTGAAACTGAAACAGCAACAGACTTTGTGGTAGGTGGAGTTGAGAATCCTGATGATGCTGCTGACAACATTGCTACCATGTTTGTAGTGCCAATGTGACCATGTCTTTGGCTCCCCCACTTTAGCGCTCCTTGTGAAGAACACACCTCCATCCTTCTCTCACTTGCCATTTGCTGCCAATCCTTAAGCACATAGCCTAACATTAGCTTTGACTGGACTTTCACAACAAAAGTAAAACTCACACAAAATAATAAAGGTGTGTTTGGTTCATGGGTTTACACATTAAGAATGAGAATCAAAATCATAGTTAGTGTTTGGTTGATAACTTTTTAAAACATAACTATGAGATTTTTTTTTTTTTTTTTTTGAAAACATAACTATGCGATTTGATTACTCTTTTAATTAATTAAAAACCTCATTCCTAATTAAAAATGAGTATCATTCCATTATATTATTGTTAATCTGATTTTTAAATTTGGATTAGTGCTTTTAGATTTTTGTTTTGATTTTTTTTATTCATATCAGTGATTTGGATGTCATTATATTATGATCAATTGTTTTAATTTTTAATTTTTGTATTTTAAAAACTTTTAGTTCCATTATAGGGTCGTACATAACCAACTATCAATATTAGTAATCATTCTAATTCTACCCTACTACCAAACATGCAAAGTATTTTCACCAAATTAAACCCATTACCATTACCAAATATTCGATTCCCATTCCAATTCCCTTGTACGAATCAAACACACCCTAAGGAGGTGTTTGGTTCAAGTTATATAAGACAAGTTAGACAACCAATGTTATATTCTTCTTGGGAATATAAGATTCACATATTTGGTTCAAGTTATATAATTTTCTCAGGGAATGTAACATAACCTCCAAATAGGACTTTTAGGGGTGTTTGGTTGGATGTAATTGTAATTCTTTTCCTACCTTATTCAATGGCAATGGAAATTACAATGTTTGGTTGGAGGGAATTGCAATTCCCTCCTTTTGTTGAATTGCAATTCATGGGGTACCCCCCATGAATTGCAATTCAATGCTTTTAAGAAAGGGAAAAAGTAAGCAAATGACAATAATACCCTTAGTTATTATTATTTTTATTATTATACAAGGACATTTTAGTCTTTTTACCACTTCTTTCATTCTCATTTCAATAATATTCTATTCTTCCATACCAAACAATGTAATTTGAATTCCTACATTATTCCCGCCTTATTTTTTTCCCACCGAATTACAATTCCTTTCCAACCTCATTCCTTCCTCCCAACCAAACACCCCGTTAGCCATTTGAAGGGAATGTGAGATACCTTCCTCTTCCTTAGGTATTCTCACATTCCCTTTTCTTTTATTACAATTTTCATTTTAATCCATTGAGTTTTCTCCCATTCAAGACATAGAATGTTTCTCAAGCTCAAACTCTTTATTAATTGTGTTTAAATGATTTACTTCTATATGTTTTATCATTGCTTTATTTATTTATTTTAATTTTGAAATTTATTGAAATACATAGAAATAGGTTAAGGATATTAAAGCAAAATACTCCTAAAAAGTAACTAAATAACTCTTCAACCAGACATGCTTATACTACGTAGCTCAATTTTAACCAAACAGAATAATCTAATATCCCTGAGGTAATCTAACATTCCGTTAACCAAATATCCCTATGTATATTTCAAGAAAGTAAAACTTCTGCCACATGTCCAAATTTTATTGGACTAATAAAATAAAATGAATAAAAACGGTACCTCACTTGTTTTTCAAAACCAATCAGAATATGTCATGTCAATAAAGAATAAAAGATATAGTTAAACTTGGGATAACTGGTAATATTACTATTAAACTCGCAGCACAGGAGACAGTTGATTTAAAAACAAGCCTCTGCTTGGGAAAGAATATGCAGTGAAGTATAAAACAAGTTATTGAAGAAGATATAAATTCTCTGCTCCGACAACCCAAAGGTAAGCAATTTTATTCTAGCCCATAGCTTACCTCGGATTTAGGATAGACATTTGAATAGACTCCAGTGCACAGTTGAGGTTGTTCAGATGGTATCAATCTTGCATTGAGATCTGGACTAACAAGTTTTGTTTCGCCAGATTTATCCATCTGTCATTGAAGACCATTAAAGAAATCAATGACTCTAGCTACCAGAAAATGATGCAATTACATGAATAGTTCATGGGGAGTATTATGTAGACATATAGTTTGGAATATACATCTGATGTTCCTGAATGGAGCAAGTGGTACTGGAGATTTCCTGTGTTCCTGTTTTCTTTAGGAGAAGAGGTTATAATCCCCAAGTTCAGATCAAGATCATGCTGGCTACCTGCATTATTGGGCCAAGAAAACTCATAAGTGCAGAGTTTAATGCATGTACTCCAGTAATTAAGTTCTTGCAATTAGATAAAATATGATGAATGTAGGCAGGCATATATATATACCTTCATTTAGTGGGTTAGAGATTGTTTGTCCATCATATGTACTGGGGTCAAAGTTAGTAACAGCCTCCCTCCCATTAAATTTGATAGCTGCCTTATCATAAGCCCTGATTTGCAGAAAACAAAAAAGGGAATATTGGTTGAATGATGCATAATTGAGGGTAGTATTCAAATTATGAGGGAGAGGACAATATATGATCTTTTGGCATTAGGACCTTGCAGCTTCTACTTCACTGTCGAATAGTCCAAGATAAATATACCTGCAATGCAGCATTCCAATCCCCTTTATGAATATTGGGTTCCCAATTATTTCTTCTTCAATAGATTTGTCAGGGTTCAACCCAACTAGCTTTTATTTTTTGTTTGTTTTTTAAATTTTGAACTACACTGGTACTGACAATCAACCATAGATTTTAAGTTGCTTACTTTTTGCCTAGGAGCTGCCCCATCCGAGCCTCCCATCTGCCACATTTATGCAGTGTCACTCCTCTGTATTTGGAGGTCCCTCTTGAGAAACCAGTGCTCTGGCGGCGTAGCATATGTACAAATTCTTCTTTATTCAGGCTTTTAATCTGCAGTAAAAGCACAAATTTCACAACCCATACCAGAAAACTTAATAGATTCATATGAAACAAATATCATTTCCAACAGTTAGCTCAATTGAATTAGGTGACTATGCAGTATGCACCAATGATCTGAAAAGATTCCTGTGAAACAAATATCATTTCTAACCTGTTTCATTCCATCCTTATATTCACTTATACTGAAATTTATGTCAGCATCAACTCCCCGGAATTTAAGTGCTGCTAGATCATATGCTCTGTAACATAAAGAGTAAGAAATGTCAGGGAAGTACTACTATGAAACTGGAGATTGAAAAGCATAACCAATCAATCAATCAATTTACCTAGCTGCAGCATAAGCAGTGTCAAATCCACCTATCACAACCCAACACAATAAAACCATCAATTTTTTTTTCCCAAATTAGAAATTCAGTACAAAGTGCCAAAAAAGGTGAAGAAATCATCCCAAAATGAAAAGTAGTTAAAGTTAGCTGTCTCCATACCCAAATATACTTGTTTGCCGGAGTCCCTGCATCAATTAATATGTATATAAATAAGTACTCCTTACCAAATAGAAGAGCTCAAATTTACAGGATAACTAAAATTAGTATATATGATTCTATACAAACGCATAATAATATCATAAGTATGAATCCAATAGTTAAAAATCACTAACCAGATATGCGATTCCCATCTACCGGTTCTTCTGTAGAAAGTGACTCCTCTATACTGTGAGCTCCGAGACCTCGGCCCTCTCCGGCTCTTCTTCACCTTTTGCGGCTGAGGCTGAGGCGGCGGCTGCTGGTGGTGGTTTTGCTCTACCCTTCCCACCTCTGCTTGACAGAAAGAGAGATTCACCTCCCTGTCAGGCTGCCCGGATGCTTCGACCCGGTTCAATTCGCCCTCGCTTACCGGGAACAGCTGCCGCGTCACGAACACCGGACGAGTCACCCGCCGACTTTCGTAACCGTCATCGTTCCCTCTCCCGGCCTTGAGGATCTCAAAATTTAAGGAAAACACGTCGCGGCCGCGCGTGGAGCAGGTGTCTTCCACACCGGCATTGCCGGATATCTTGGCATTCATCTGCGACGAGTGCGAGCTCGTCGTCCCGGATTCATCGGCTCTGGAACCTTCTCGAAGCCTCTCATATGCACTCTCGTCGCAGTGCAATACACTCAAATTGAGATCCAACATCACTACTCTCAACTCTCAACTCCGTATATATTTATCCACACACAGCGATCAAACCGAATATATACACACGTATATCTGTATATACAACCGTTAGCTTAAGCGTTAAGTATATATGGATCGATCAAAGAATCTTTTCCAGTTTCAACTGTGTAACAAAAGAAAGCGGAAGAATCGGATGAGAGAAACTGGAAAAACTTTAACCTCTCTATAGACGCCGATGATCGGAATTTTCATATGCTTAAACGCACGATGAACTGTATCGGAAAAATATCTTGTCCTCTGCTCCCGATCATCGGAGTATAATATATGTTATATAGATATAGATATAGAGTGAGAGAGGGGAAGGAGGAGCTGAAATGCGTACAGGAATCATCGCCGACTGTATGATACCATGAAGAAAACGTACGAGATTTTTATTTTTATTTTTATTTTTATTTAAACATTAACTTTTAAAAAATAAATAATGTTTTTGCCTGTCCGGATTTTACCACCCAATATTATTAGTTTCACGAGTTTTATTACACTGTTCTCGAAATCTCAAGGAAATATTGTTTTTTATATTTATAAATTAATAATAAATTGGTCGATTTCACCGGCCGAATTAAATTTAAATTAAATTAATTAAAAAAATTTTAAATACTCATGGTTTTATAAAATAAAAATAAAAATAAAAATGCGTGGTGTAGGCAGTTGCGTATTTCCTTTGCTTTTACGTGGGTCCACTAAAGATTTATATATTGTTTCTTCTCTATTATTCTAAAATTATTTTTCAAAGTTTTAGTATAAAAATTCTACATGTGGTAAGTTTTAATTAAGATATATGTGATAAAATAATTTTTTTTTAACTAAAATTGAAAATTTTGTAACATATATATATATATATATATATATATATATATATATATATATATATATATATATATATATATATATATATATATTGTAAGTAATATAACATGACATTTGGTTGGAGGGAATTTAAATTCCATTCCCACATAATTCCAAAGGTCACTAAATTCCTTAGTTTGGTTGGAAGGAATTACAATTACACGGAATTGTAATTTACTCATTTTCATGAAATTAAAATCACATGCCCCTTGAGATTTTAATTCCATGAATTTTAGGAAAAAAAAAAGATAATGATTAGACAAAATTATCCTCTCTTTTTTTAAAGCTAAAATTGATGCCTGACAACAAAAATGAGCATTTTGGACTTTATACTACTTACTCCCTTAAAATTCTCATATATACCAAACATTGAAATTGAAATTTCCAGTAATTTTATTCCTGTAAACCAAACACTGAAATTTAAATTCCCACTTTATTCCCAGTAATTCATCTCCCATGAAATTACAATTCCTTTCCCACGTAATTCTCTACTTCAACCAAACGCCCCGTAAGTTGTGAATATAGACTTACCTTGTTCATATATTTAGAACATTATAAATAATTTTTTAAAAATATTATAAATAATTTTCTAAAATCATATTTTTATTATTTTTAGCACCACACTAAATAATTATTGAAAACTTCTAAAGTGCTAACCGACACATGTTTGATTCTTGCTCTGTATATAACTTAAAACGAACAGAAAAAATTTTGAGTTTGTATCAAATACTATGAAGGCATTGTCTCCACAATATTCTATACAAACTTAAAACTTCTTTCGAACTCTACAGTAGAGATACTATAGACTTTCTCTACTATTTGAGCAAGAAGAAATTGCAATGATTTCCAATCACATAATTATTTGGGCATTACTTGTTTGATTCTTAAAGGTTTAGGCCTACAATTTTAGAATTTTACTTAATAATTTTGAGAAACAACCTCTCCATATCTAATTTTTCTAGACATTGTGGAACTTTTTTTTTTTTTTTGTTTTCTTTTTTGTTATATATATATATATATATATATATATATATATATATATATATATATATTGGCTTGAGTTTGATTTTATTCTAACTCGTAGTTTTGGAATTTTTAGTGAGATTTCAATTTATTATGAGCTTTTCCATGACAGATTTTGTATGAGTTTGTGTCAGTTTGACATATGATTTGATGAAATATATTTTCACTTCAAAGTAGTAAACTCATTTATTATAGTCGTATCCAGGAACAACTCAACTAGTCAATTAATTTAAAATAAGTTGAGAATTTTTACTTTGCTAGTCACACGAGGTATGAATTTGATTTTACAGTGAAGACACTAGTGTATAAGCATTTGAATGCATATAAATTACTTGAGCCACATTTAACAATTTACTTTTCCTATTAGTCTTTAAAACAGGAGCGATGAAAAGACAGTCAAGTTTTTATTGTAATTTATATATGTTATAAGATAGTCATAATCATTAGTAAAGTCTGTGAGATGAAATTGAATTGGGACATCCATCCCGTCATTATTTCATCGCTTTGCCCTTTCGGGAAACTGGAATTCCAAAGCAAGGAACACTTGTACTAATGCTCTGCGTTTCTTGAATCTACTTCGTTCCTTGCTTTTATCATGTCCTTTAATTTATTTCAATGTTTGGCATCCTCAAATATCACGTGTCTGATTCATCCCATTTTGGTCTCCTTTCTACATCACCTTTAATTTCCAAAATTAGCCTACAATAATTCTATGTATAGGGAAAACTGAGCCATGTGTCTCACAGGCAGAGTTTCTTTTAAATCTTTTTTAAAGGGTGTTAAAACTTTTTTTTTTTTTTTTTGGAAAACAAGGGTGTTAAAACTTAAAAGTGTTGAAATGTCTTTTATATATATATATATATATATATATATATATATATATATATATATATATATATATATATATATAAATGGGCTCTCGTACGGTTGACCTTTTCAGGTGCGGTTGTGCGGTTGCTAAGGTGTGTGATTTTCCTTCTTAAGGTACGTGGTTTGTGTGCTTAAGGTGCATCAGTGTTGAAACTTAAAATGCGTGTCAACTTAAAGCTTAAGGTGTGTGGTTTCCTTCTTAAGTTGCATGATTTGTATGCTTAAGGTGCGTCAGTTGTGTGAAACTTAAGGTGCGCCATTTTAAAACATTAGGTGCGTGGTTACATTTGTGTACTTTAGGTGCGTCGGCCTAAAACTTTAGGTGCGCGTGGTTTATGTTTTTAAGGTGATTTGTTTGTGTGCTTAAGGTGCGTGGTTTGTGTAATTAAGGTGCTTTGTTTGTGTGCTTAAGGTGCGTGATTTGTGTACTTAAGGTGCGCAATTTTAATACTTAAGGTGCGTCAATCGTACAACCGCACGGGAAGCCATCTCTGCACCAGAACCCGTATATATATATATATATATATATATATATATATATATATATATATATATATATATATATATATATATATAGCCCGAACCCGATGGGCTAACTCGATAAAACCGAAATCGACAGGGCTATGGCCCGAATGGGCTAGCCCGATAAAACACATTAGCCCGACGAGCCCGAAACCGATTAGCCCGGTGGCCCGATAGGGCTAGCCCGAAATTAAAAGGGCTAGCCCGACAACCCGAACTATTGAAAACTATTTTTTATTATAGAAGTGATGTGAAACCTAACATACATGGAATAATTATTATATATATATATATATATATATATATATATATATATATATATATATATATATATATATATATATATATATATATATAATTACATTCAGGTGAAAACACATCTTAAAGTACAAACATGTGGACTAATCTTGGCCATTCAATTTTGCTGTTGGATGGTTGTGATTCTCGCGTAGGGTTAGTGTTTAATTTAGTGTGTTTTTATGTTAAGGGGGTTAGTTTGGGTATTTTACTAGTCATTAAAACCTAGTCAGATTAGGTATCTTATTTCACGCGCACGTTTTTCCCATTGCTTCTGTTTCTTCTCAGATTGGGGCTGTCCGTGTCTCCCTCTCTCTGTTCGCAGAAAGCTTTCGCGAATCATGTCATCTTCGCACATTCATCCTTCCGTCTTCACTTCCACGTAGCAATGGTAATCGGTGGGGATTGCGGTACATCGAAGAGGAGGGAACCACCGGTCGGAGCTGTCGACCGAGGTATTTTTACAATGCCTTTTTTTTTGGTCGGTTCTTGTGTTTTGTGCGTGTTTTGTCTTTTTTTTTTTTCTTTTTTTTTTTTTTTTTTTTTTTTTTTTTTTTTGGGGGCTTGCTTGTTTGTAAGCATCATAGTCGGTTTGGGGTGGTTGCCGGATTTTGGCCTGAATTTTGAATCTAGGGTTTTCGATTTGGGGATTTTTTGCATGTATTAGATGAATTATTTGTCTACATATTTGAATTCTGATGCATAGATAATGGTAGTTTCATTATTTTCTTGCTATTTTTGATGTGTATATAATGCATTTGTATGTATGTGTACTACCCTTTCCTATGTTTCCGATCATCATCTTGGCTGAGTGACTGATTTCTCAGAATTTAATTATTAAGACTCCACATTTTATTTGTTGATTTCTGTATTTATACATGCATATATGTAAAATTACGGTTCATCTTCTTAAGAATTGTAGTTCGAAAAAAATAATATGGAATTATCCTTAAAAAATTTTAAACAAAAATGTCTAAAATAAATTCATTGGTCCAAAAATGTATATCAATTATAGAAACAATTTAAATTATATAATTCATATGTTTTTTTTTTGAAAATATAATTCAAATGTTTTTAATTATGTTTTAGGAGATTTTTTTTTTAAAGTATCTTTTGTACATAGAGTGTTTAATTTTAGTATGTGGAGGGGGGGGGGGGGGGGGGGGGGGGGAGATGTTCCTGTGGTTCGTGATTCATTTCTGTCCAGTTTTAAAATGAAGAAAAAGAAAAGGTACAATTAGTGTTATTTGGTCTTTAGTGTTTATCATTAATGTGTGGGTTTTTTTTTTTTTTTTTTTTTAATTGCTATTATGCCGTGGTGTTGTGGGTTTGGGGGCTTGCTTGGGGTGATGAATTGGGGTGTGCTTGGTTATGCTATTGATTTATGTTGTTTTTTAGAAAAAAATAAGTTATATCGTTCTTGTTGCGTGCGCAGAGGTGTGAATCGAATTGGTTTTTTATTTTCCAGGTAAAAAAGTCAAGGTGGCGCGGGGTGCTCCAAGTATGGGTCAAAGTTGTGTGAGCGATGATTTCATTTCACCACCTTTGGCTTTCCTGGCCAGATTGGAACAAGACCCCCTGTGGGATGCCCTCGATGTTGCCCCTGATGATGAATCATCGTCTAAAAAAGAAAATGTGTCTGGTGTTCACGGTTTGGGTTCTGACTCGGGTGCTTTCCGTACGTCAGACTGTCCAGAGTTTAGTACCCCAACGGAGGTTAGTTCCTTCAATATCTCGTTACAAATCATGTTCTACATAT